CTTCTATCCCCTTTTTTGAAAATGGGTGTTATGTTGGCATGCTTCCAATCAGAAGGTACCACACCTTCAGATAAGGATTCAGATATACTGGTTTATAAGTTAAATGAACGTTTGCCGTAAAGCTACACAGACGAGACTGAAGCTTACGGCATTCCAACACTCGTATGTTTGTCTGCTCAGAAATGGGAAAGTGCATGTTTTTTCTAGAGAATGGGGCTTGAAAAATGACTGAAAAATGCTTGTGGATTTGCTATGCATATATTCTGCATAGGAAACCTCATAAAGAAAAGCATTCTATGCCTTGTGCTCCCTGCTTGCTGTGTTTCTTTCCCACCACTAGAGGGTAGTGTCACTGCTTGAAATACCAATATAACACTGAATGAGAATGAAACGCAAATATGAATAGAATATTTATAAGTACAAATGTTTTAAGGTAACAGCAAAACCTGAAATTTTGTTGTCTGTTAGGTAACATTTCGCACAAGAATCTACCACTGCAACATCAACAGTCAGGGTGTGATCTGTCTGGACATCCTTAAGGACAACTGGAGCCCTGCCCTCACCATCTCCAAAGTGCTGCTCTCCATCTGCTCCCTGCTCACCGACTGTAACCCTGGTAGGTGTGTCTGCAGTGCTCTAGCCCCCCTGCCATTTACTGAGAAGGTGATCCTTTTAGGAAGGTATTTAGTGGTTAATGCGTAAGTTTTTTTTTTTCTTTTTTTATTATTTTTTTATTGACTGACTGCGTAGTTTTGTATGGAATGGTAATGGTGCCCCCACCCCCCAGGGGGCAGCATGTGAGTTGGAGATCTGTGCCGGCTGTGTGGTGAAGCCTTGTGGCTGACAGAATACTCATATCACCATTGGGCCCATGAGCAAAGCCTTATCCCCAACACTAGATGACCTGTACTTGGTCTCTATCTCTCCTCTCACCTGTGCTTCCGCCATGGGGATCAATGAAGTACCCGTATTCCAATAAGCAAAATGTTTTTTTTCCTGAATCTGGTGTATTGAAGTAGCTTTAAAACCTAATCCTGATTCGCTTTCAATTCATGCGATCTCTTGCTTCATCAGGTGTCAATTTTGTGTCTTGATGTTTCACCATATTTTTGTATTGTAAGAGATTCTGCATCAAATAAAGAGAAATTTGACGGTTAGTAACAAGGAAGTAGCTCCACTGCAATACAGAACTTATTGTTCAGTAATGTTTTTTCCTATTTAGTAGAGTAAAGCTACAGAGGGCATCCATTAGATGCTAGTGTAGTTTTTTGTGAGGAGAGTCTGTAGTAATACAATTCAAGTAATTAAAATGAGCCACGAATGTTTGAAAGTGAAGTCCTGCATTAAAGTAAGATACGTATATAAAAATGCCATCTGGATTTGTTTCTTTTGTGGGGCTGATTTAATAATTTCTTACTGTCACGATGTATTGATAGTAAATGTTAGCGGATGCCATATGACAAACCAACAGCACAAATGAGATCTCACTAGTTTTATTTACAGTGGTTGTCCGCAAGACTGTCATAATGATGAGACCTGGCAGCTTTCCTCTGTACTTTTACTCAAGCAGGGACCGCTTATGAAATTACTCAGAGCTGTGATGATCTGTGCTTCCATAACACTTCATCTGTCTTGTGTTAGTATATTAATGGCTGTTCTGTGCGAAATGGTGAACACATCTTTTTTTTTTTTTCCTTGTCCAGCTGACCCACTGGTTGGAAGCATCGCCACTCAGTACATGACAAACAGAGCAGAGCACGACAGAATAGCCAAACAGTGGACCAAGCGGTATGCCACATAAGCAGGCGGCCCCAAGCCCCCGCGCAGAGCCTGCGCTTTGACAGCTGCTCATGGAATGCCGACGGGGTGGGGTGGGTGGAATTTCTATTGCAGATTTTATTGCGGTCTTTTATTGCCCGCTGATTGTTGGGTTTCACCATTGTAAGTTATCATAGTCCTGCTAGAAAGTAAAAAACAGCAATACGCTAGATTTGTCAGTTACTCTCTTTGTGTTCATGGATTTCAGTGTTTGTGCTTTGAAATTTAAAAATACATTTTTACATTGACTACTTGTAAAGAATATTAAAGCATAAGTTTTTCCTCTTTGGAGATTTTCAGTTAAATATGAACATTTTAATAAAGCCTCTTGATGAATAATTTATTACACTCAGCTTATTTTGATAGCAAAAAAAAATATTAATATGCTCGGTTGCCAGAGCCTATGGTCATTCAAAATTTTTTGTTTGTGGAGACAGAGTAATCTATTTATTACTACTATCTTTATTTATTGATACAAGAAATTAGGAATGTCGGGGTGTGACATGTCGGCTACAAAGCGAACTTAAATCCTATATCTACTCCATTGTAAGTGCATGTGGAACCTGCTAATAAGTTCATTGTAAATGGTAAACCACTGGAACACCTCTCCCCCTGGATGTTTTACATTAAATTTTTATTTTTTAAATTTAAGGGAAGTGTTCAAGTCTTCACACATTTTTTGTTGTAGCTGTTGAATATTCAAAATTGACTCTGATATGAATCACATTACCTTGATTGTTGTCTTGTGAATGAGACTTGGAGCTTTCTGAAAGAATAAGAATGTGTAAATGCTTACCTGTAAATGGTGTATCCCCAGTATCAAATAAAACGTGTGTGCTTTTGCAATGTAAATATTGCAAAGAATGTTTATTATTAAATTGGGGCAGCAGAGTTTAAGAACATTGAGTAAAGATCGCTGGCTTAAGTCCCAGGAGGAGCTCTGCTCTGAACAAGAAATACAGGTGGTTTTCTGCATAGTCACCAGATAGCTGTATACATTTTCACCAGTGATAAAGAAGCTTTAAGAAGCAGTCATGGGTGGATATATCCCCCACACCGTTTCTGTAATCATGTCCTCACAGCATCCTCAGCTATATCTCTGGATGCGTAGCGGTGTCCTTGAAGGTCGTCTTCTGGTTTTGGTATGAGTTTGAAGTTGCAGTTGCAAGTGGAAGGATGCAGAGATTCAGCCTCAGTTATTGCTTCCATGGTGGTCAGTGAAGTGTGTGGCTTGGCGTTGGCATGTTTCAGGGTAAACCCCTCTTTGGCCCCTTCGACTCCTTCATAGTTTTATTTATACCTTTGAGCAAAAGTGTGTTAAAGACCTTCATGGACGGAACTTAATATCAAGTGCAAAAGCTAAAAATGTAATGTGATGGCTCCACCAAACTTCTGCATCATTGGCAGTTATCTGGTGACTAGAAAAACAAATAGAAGTAAAGGTTAAAGAGCATATTATAAGAATTCCCATCCCAGTTGCGACAAATGGAAATAGAGGCATCACTTTTCATTCAACCCTTGTAATTATTATTATTATTTTTTTTGTAATTTAAGGTTGCTTTGGATTAGTGTCCACAATTGAACTAATACATGTTAATTAACAGAGCTACTTGCGCTTTTCTTCCAGCCTGCATCTGTCAATTGCTGCATTTTCCAATGTGATTCTGGTCTCCCCATCTAAAATAAACCAGGCTTTTTGGACTGTGTGAAATTGTTTTGATTTGGTTCTTTTATTTCAGAAGGATATAGGGGAGGTAGCACACACAATTTAAAAAAACAATGAAAGTATTCAGCATTAAAAATAAATATTTTTCCTTTTATGGTATGAAAGTTTTAATTCTGTAGCTAGTTACATATGGTGGTTATCACATCTAACCATCAGCAGTTGTTAATGGCTTGTTTTCTGCTATTGATAATATCCAAACAGTCAAAAGTTCCCCCTAATAACAAAATGAAAAACTGTTAACGGAAGTACTCCAAAAAAAGTCAAATATTGCAAAAATGTTTTTATGTTCGCTTGAGGTTTTTGTGGTGAATCGCAAACGGAATTTGTGAAATAGCAAATACGTAGGGCAAGATAATTGGTTTTTCTGCCCCGTTTGCTATTTTACTTTGTAGACTTAAAATTTGTGTTTTTGCGCACAAGTTCAAGCTGACGCTGCTGCAGTAGGCTGCCGTGACGGCTGCTCCGTCATTTCCTCGGAGCATTGCAATAAAGCATTTCACTGCAGGTTGTACTGTGTATGATGATGCATGTGACAAATTTGAATTTGAACAAGTTTAATGTAAACACAGCTATCTGATGTTACCTTTGCCCAGGCTTGAGAGGTAAATGTCAGCTTGTTTATCCTTTCAGGGGAGAGTCATCTTTGCTCTTGATGGCTGCCATTCGTTCATAGTTGCGCTAGGGCACACATTTGATATCCAGGTGTTAACCTGCTTCTGCGGGTCTATGAGGAAACCGCTTGGCCAAAACCCAGTTTCTGAGTACACCTTCAGTGCACTGTGAACAAATGAAGCAGATTTGCCGCTCACGTCTGGGCCAATTAGTCGTCAGTAACTAATTTGAGATCATGGCCCCTAAAAACCAAGAACATTTTTAGTCTAGATGATTTTAAATCGACTGACAGGAAGGACCAGACAAACACTTTCCAGAGCCTGATTGCCCAAACACATTGAAGATGGCCCAACACGTCGCAGGTCCTCCCGTGCCTTCAGAATGTTTATTTGTTGGAGGAGAGCCCACAGCATCATTGAGGATCCTACGCTTTTCAGCAACAAGCTGTTCTTTCTGGCAAGCTGAACATACACTACGACTGCCAAGTTCAGAGAGCACTCCTGTCCAATCGATCAGAGTAGGTAACAATGTATAATAAACTGAACTATCCTGGACTCCCATGTCAGATAACACTATTGCAAAAACATTACAGCGTTTATGTAAAGACTGGTTAATGTCAGTGATTTTACACAAGTGTATACCCATGTTTCTGTTTTACTATCCCATTGTATGTGTATTTATTTTAAAAGTAATTTTTCCCTCTGCTTATTCCACTAATTTGTCATTTCAAATTTTCACATTTTTTCGTGTTGTGTATGACAAAACTTGAAACATAGGCCATCGATTGCAAATAAGGAAAGATAGGTATTATAAAATGTGTATAAAATGTATAAAATTCAAATTCAAAGCGGTCTGCAGGATTAAGACTGACTATTTACATAACAAATCAGGAAGTTGTTAAAGATAATTAATGTGGTCTATCTTCTGATATAGAGGAACCAGCTATACATGGATGTAATGCTTCCATAAATGTTGTCCATTTGTCTTTTTACATTCCTATCTAAGAGAACTTCTTACCCAGGGGTATATCTAGAAATTCTGCCCCCCACCCCACCCAAAATCCTGGGTTGGGTTGGCAGTGGAGGGGAGGGGGTCCTCACAGTAGATATTGCTGATCGGGCCCTTCACCTTGGGCCCCAAAGATGCATTCTGTGGCCCCTATGAAGTTGTGGGACCCCTTGATTTTTGCCAGGGAGTCCATGACCGTTCAACTCCCCTGCTGTTACCAAGAAAGTGTGGAGGTTTAAACATTGAAACATTTAATCGTTTTACAAGAGACACATCAGTCTTGCACTGAAATCACTAAACATTTAAAGCGAACAAAAGCATCATTCGCATTTAATCTAGTTTATCATTCAATCCATAGATGTCCTGACTATAAATAGCATAACATTTGGTTGGCACTTAAATTCATAATAATTACGTTTATTCACCACAACCCTAAACCTGTACATAGTCAGTCACAGACCTCTGGTTCTTACCAGAATGCACTTAAAGTAAATTTTAATTTAAGGGCAAAATTTCAGCTTCATCTGGAACAAAAATGACCGTATCAGAGTGACCCAGCTTTTAAAACGTTCTATAAGCAGTTGATGTAGGTGGACAGTAGCTGTTTTGTTCCACGAGGAGGGTTACGTAATTGTGCTATGGGGGACAAAGGTATAAATGACAAAGTAAATTTGGAAACGATTGTTTCACTAGGTCATGCTTCACACGTGATGCATTCAATGTGTTTTTGTCGCACCATCCCACTTCCTGTCAGTGCAGGTCGATCTCTTCCTGTTTTTAGTCCTCAAGCCAGTGTCTCTGCTTAGCGTATTGCACCACAATGATACTTTGTATTTATTATTAATAATAATAATAATAATATAAATACTGGCATACTACCACAGAGTGAAGAATTTTCCTTTAGTTTCTGAATGGGGAGATTGCCTTTAACCTTCAGTGATGGTAGCCTGAGGCATTTTGCCTTAAGTGATATCAGCGATTGTCAACATGAGTCTGCTCCATTTTCCAAATAAGCGCTCATGCTCAGAAGCTCTATACCAACAGTCTGCCCTTTGCCCACACCGCGGGTGCACAAACCGCCGGAGCAGACAGTCCCTTTGTTGAAGCAATTTGCTCTGGAAAATTGTGAACCCTGCATGGGCAGCTTTGCTCTATTTTAAAGCTGTTTCCAGTGCTGCTTGCAAAAAGGGGGCCTCCTTTTCCTCAGTAAAAAGGGGAAATACCTGGTTATACAGTTAACGAATTAGTAATACAAATCGCGATCTAGTTATCGTTTGTATTTATGAAAGTGAAGAATATAATGTATTTTTCGCAAATGAGTAGTTACATAACTTTGCTGGCATTTCAATTTCTGATAAATCAATATAAATCTTCAGTTATTGTAAACACAGCAAAGCACTTCTTTTTTTCACCAGGAAAATAACAAAAGGGTCAAAAACCAGCACTACCACACTTGTTTAAAGTCATGCAGGTTGCAGCTTGAATTGATTACATCTGTTTATCTGATGGGCGCATGATTTATTGTGTCTATTCCACGTTTTCAATTGAATATATTTTACACTATCCATTTACAAAATACAAAGTATTTCGGATTAAAACTAAAGTTGTTGCCAGCAGTCAGTTACCGTAGGAGCAGTCAAACACATATTAAATATAGGTTTAACAATCTGAGTAATACTTTTGTGGCCCATACCTGACAAATGAGATTCCCTACGAGTACAGAAGTAACACTGGCTGGACAAAGAGGTGATGTAAATTTTTTGCGACGGTCCATCTCAGCCCTGAAGTTCAATTTTAAAAATTGCACAACTGCACTGACGAGACCCCGTGAGAATCACCAGTTTACGGTTGGCGTGCATTTTGCGGTGATCTAGTAAGCAGATGCAACATTATACTTAGCTAGATGACTTGCTAGTTAACATCAATCAGAAAATAGTTTGCTAGATGTGTCCAAAATGGTGAGATGTGGAATGTAAAGGCTGTGCTGTGTTGGTTTATGTATGGCTAGCCAGCAAATACTGAAGGACAGTGTACATTAACTACAAGCGTAGTTGACCTGCCATCTATTCTTATAGCAGCGTCACGGGATCTGGATTAGCACATTGATCACATAGATACCAGAGCAGACGTGCGACATATATTTTGACAGTTTTAGGCTAATGAAGCATATATCTGTAAAACAACACAGAAACAATTCAGTCGCCCTCTTATACTTGCAGTAGCACGTTTACGTGGCTAGCCATTGTCAACAGCCAGCTAACCTTGTTTACTGACGCTGACGGCGTGACCGGTCATCGACGACGCGTAGAAGATACCAAAAGCTACTTACTGCAAGTATAACGACGTGTTATTCACGGTCGATGTAAGTACATTACTATGTTATTTATTATATGAATAATTTATATTAGAATACATTTTTTTAAAATATTGGCACAGGCACCACGCCACTGCTGGGTTTAAACGAGATTGTTGGGGAGAAATTCGGTTTACATTCACTGAGAGAGCTTAGAAACTATGCCAGAAGGGGTTTGAAACTTTATTTCTGCTAGGTGGCGTGGAAGACATGGACTGGCCATTTATTCAAATAAAACTACTCTGATTTCTTTCCTGACTGATTTTCAGTGCACAGTTAAATACTAATAGTTTACATTTTAGTACATCGACACTATGTACTTGGATTGGTTTAGATGTCAAAAACCATATGAAAAATTATTTTCCTGAAACACCCATATCGTCTAATATATGTGCATCTGTAATTTCTCATTTCAAAATAAAGCTTTTCTTTATCAGCTTATTCCACTTCCACACCAAACTAGTGCAATTCCTTTCCTAATAAAAAAATATTTTTCATTCAAATATCATCTAAAAATGTATTTTATGCTTTAACCATTTAACCCTTATGAACTAGTATGGGTTATACATATTAAATGATTAAACGATGGCCTTTCCATTTCTCCGGGTATTTTAAGATACCGACATACTAAATCTGATAACTTCAGGCACAAAACATCTCAACATTTCGTGCCATTGGAAACCAAACACTTTTCAGTAAACCCACACGAACCTGTGCTGATCAGATCGGTACCGAGTACGAGACAAACCGAGGCGAGCGAGACTTGAGGAAGTTCCCTGAGGATTCTCGTCTTTGAACTGCAGAAGTGTGTCACTGGGTTACAGTGACTCAAGCGCGGGGGCAGGGGGCGGGGCCGGGCGCTGGGTCACGTGCTAGCGCTGCTTAGAACATTCAGTCCCGGACAGCCAGTGCAGTTGTTCTAAAGAGCAAAATTCAGTATTACGGTCGAGGTTACAGTAGAGCAGTCAAAGTCACAACTCTGATTTCCATCAGCGTCCAAGTACCCATTTCATTTATCGAGTGGGATATTTCGCAGAGGAAAGAAAGCATGGGCCAATATTGAACTGTCTATTCAGCAAGTCGCCGGTGTTTGCTTATTTTATTTAAAATAGTAAACTTCGTCGACTGCGGGATCACATTTAAGTGTAGAGTGTTCTTGGCTTGCTAGGTGTGTTTACGAGTCAGCGCCAACCTACAAATATAAATAGCTTCGATACAGAAAGACACGTACCGTCTTTCTGTTTCAACTACTTCAAACTTTGGATTTCGGGTCTTAAACGGTCGGAAGATATGGCATCGACAAAGGCTGGTAAGACAGAAAATCGTTAATATTGTGAAACAAATGGAAATGTGTAATCCATAGAAATGTGTCATTTTAATTTGTTGCACTTTCCGGGATTTTAGATATTCAGTAGCCTGTCTGTAAAGGAAAATAACCGTCAGAATGACATTTTCTTAGGGGCTAAATGACTAGTAACAATATATTTCTTCAATCTACGTGCAAGGTTTTAACGCACTTTTTTCTGTTTCGCCATTATATCTCTTACATGCATGTAAGGCTTCAGTCGTCCTGTTTTGTTAATTCTATGTCAGACATTATGTATTTATATATTTATAAATGTACGTTCGTAGTGCACTCATAGCTCCCTATAGAAGTACATTTACTCACATGTACCGAACACGCTAGCCATGTGTGACTGTGTACACGCTCCCAGCTCGCTGTCGCTGATTGGCCGAGCGCTGCATGTGACGTAGACGTTGCATAATTGCGCGAGGTGTACTGGTGCGGCGACAAGCTGCGAGTCCACGTGAGGGGTGGGAGCTCGCGGCCATGACCTAGTTTTCCGCTTTCCCGGAGAAAATGTGAGCGTGTGAGAGGCGCGCGCGGAGGCGTGTCCGGGAAGCGCGTTCATTCATCTGCCTGTCATGCGTGACCTCCGCGGGTCCGAGAAAGGGCTGTCGCAGTCTCACTTTCAAACTCCTATGCCATAAGGCACTTTAAATAGCTGTTAGGGAACCCTTGTTGTTCATTCATAAGGCAGTTTATAATCCACTGTATCCATGGGTTTAAATAGAAGCCAAAGAGAAGTCTTACATCGTCATCGTTTTGTGGGAACACGCTGTACAATCGACAGAGATAAACAGCAATGAATTGTTTTATTGCCGTAATAAAGTTTAACCCAGTGGTTAAATCATACTTGCTACTTGGTCTGTTTATGTTATTTCTTCTATATTGGGCAGGCTACAAGTCATAACTAGTGTCATTTATTGTTACAGCTTGGTTGTTGAGAAAACTACGATCCATTTCACTGTACATTCCAAAGGTTAAGTCAAAAATAGTGTTTTAACTTGCTATCCATAAACCCATTGGCAGTAACTTTGCTTTTAACGGTAGTGTAACAATGTACATTGTCCGCAAATTACAAGGTTTAATAAAGTTATATGGAACAATGTCTAAATACAGAATCTATGGAACTTATTCAGTTTGAGACTGGAAATTTGTCTTTGTAACCATGGGCGTGGGAAAGAATTTAATTTGATATTCATGGAGGCATTACTGAATAATTTAAATGCAAAGGTCTACTTTTGGGGGGACGAATGATGCCAAATTAAATATAGGAGGAACACCTCCCCCACCCCTGGCTCCTGCACCCCTGGTTATAATGAGTACCTCTACAGAAGTAACTAAAAATAAACTTTAAAAATATACATTGCCATTAGACTTGTCATTAAGGTGATCTACTAAAAACATGGGAAAAACATGGGAAAAACACTGCAAAAGCCCGCCTGGGGTTCTGTCTGCACTGACACCGCTTGTCTGTCACCCCTGTCCTCCAAGGGGGAGTCATCGCATACATCCACTCATCGAGCTCCTCCTCGAGCCCGGAGTCGTGTCTCAGCGACAGCTCCGACAGCAGCCAGCAGCCGTCTCCTCCGCCCCTCCACCCGTCCCTGAGCCAGAGATGTGACGTCTTTGCCAAGACTCCTTTCGCCGTGACCAGGCCCCCTCATGGGTCAGAGAGGATGGCACGCTCTGTACCCAACACTGATTGCGGCGCTTCTAGTAAGTCATCCGAGATCGTCACGCAGTCTAGTAAAGACAAATAAACTGCTTATGCAAGTCTTAGCCTGTTTGTGGTGTTGCTGGTATGTAAATAGATTATAAGCATTCATTCTAGTAAATATATTTACAGTTACTTAGGTAGCAGACGCTTTTATCTAAAGTGACATGCAATTGAGAACACAGGGGCAGCCATTCCCTAGAGCAGTTGGGGTTAAGGGCCTTGCTCAAGGGCACACTGGGGACGTGACTCTGCCTACTGTGGGATTTGAACTGATGACCTTCTGGTCACGGTCCTTACTGGCATTATCACACACCATACCAGGGGAAGCAGCAGCCCATGTGTGATCTTTACACATATATATATATTAGTAGGCAATGTGTAGTTCAGTGAGCAAAGTCTGTCATTGGAAGGTCTCCTGTTTGAGGTCCAGCCTCGGCAGAATAGTCACATGTCTGTGGGCCCTTGAGCGAGGCCCTTAACCCCAACTGCAGGGGTGCTGCTCACTGGCCGACCCTGTGCTGTGACCCCCAAGTTTGCCCTCACTTGTTTATGTGTCTGTGTGTCTCATGGTGAGCAAGATGGGGCATGTTTTATGGCATGTTCTTACTTGAAAAAGACGTCTTATATCGTATCTGTAGAAGGACCTGGGACTGAGCTCTGTTGTAATATGGGTGGTTTCCCTTCCTGTGTTGGCAGAGGTCAGTGGCTTGGTGTTACTCTGCAAGGTATGCGGTGACGTGGCATCAGGCTTCCATTATGGCGTCCACGCCTGCGAGGGCTGCAAGGTGAGGAAGTCGGGCGGAGACCATTAAACTGAACTTTGAGATAAATGACCAGTGGGTGGCCTGTACCCCCTGCCGTAAATGCTGATCTGCTCGGGCCCCAACATGTGCAGACAAACAAAAATAATTAACCATTTAATTAGCAACTTCATCTTTAAAAAAGGATGAGAGCTGCCTTCTAACAACTAATAAAATTGGTGACGTGAACTAGTGGCATAGTGGCCTAGACAAATAAACCAGGAAGACAAGTGGCTCATACTCTGAAGAAGGTAATAGTACTTATTGAAAATAAATATACTGTAAAGATTATTTATCAAGCACTTGCAAGCAGGGACAAACATTTCTTAACGGGCCTCATCTGTATGATAATGATAATGATCAAATTGAGAGTTTTCGTTGATTGGCTTTTTTATCCACAAGAAATGATGTAAATATGATATGACATTTCGGAGTGCAAATCCATTTTCCTTTTCAAATTAATGCAGAATAGGTACATATCTTTAACGATTTGAGCCTCTGCTCACAGCTCCATTTATGAAGAAAGATGATTTACAACACTCTTAATTAGACTTTGAAATGTGGATTTCCACTTATAAACATAGTAGAAGCCATTTTCGTCTTCCTTGTTTTATTTCAAGTTTGGCAACTGATGACTATGCGCGTTCCAGAACGCACATACAAGTCACAGATTTGCAAATGGAGATAAACAGATGGTTTATTTTCACTCATTTCCGCAGACGAGCCAAGTCGCATGCTTGTTATGTGGGTGAAGGGTGGAGATGCAGCCAGTGTCATAATAAAAGACCTTACTGTCACCAATGTCATAATAAAAGACCTTACTGTCAAATCCCACAGGGTTTCTTCAGGCGGAGCATCCAGCAAAACATCCAGTACAAGAAGTGTCTTAAGAATGAGAATTGCCCCATCATGCGGATAAACAGGAACCGATGCCAGCAATGCAGATTCAAGAAGTGCTTGTCAGTGGGAATGTCAAGAGACGGTGAGCTGAAGAACAGTAATGATGGATCATTAGGGCAACCTACCTTCACCTGAGTCCAGTGGAGAGTAAAACTCACTCAGAAAGTGGCTCCTTCGTATGGCTTCAGCTTAAAATGTCAAGATATGTGATGTTCTTGTTTCGTTAGACGAAAGAGGTGTGGTGGTCCTCACGTAATTGTGCTCCCCTTTGCTTTGTATTACTGCAAAAAGTTTACGAAAGCAAATACTTCCTTAATTAATCAATAACACGAGTTATTAATGATCGATTAATTTTATGGATCTATTACTGAAATGTTGAGTTTTAGAATCTCTCACTCACATGAAGGTTTTAGGAGGTCATAGGAATAGATGGTAGAAATCTTCAATTGAAAATGGGAAGTATTTTTGCTGTGAAATGTAAAAAATGACCTAATCATAGCTGATATTTTGTAACATCGTACCTGCTATTTGGTAATGATGTCCCCTATTTTCTTTTCATCCTCCGACAGCGGTAAGGTTTGGCCGCATTCCCAAGCGTGAGAAGCAGCGCATGCTTCTGGAGATGCAGAGCGCCATGAACAGCATGATGAGCAGCCCGCTGCATGATCAGCTGCACGGCAACCAGGCGGCTCTCTGTCCCACCAAGCAAATCCACGTCGATCCCAAAGGCTCCCCGTCACCGAGCTCGCCGGCTTCTTCCCCTCCAAGCCCTCAGGAGAAGCCCTACAACGTCAAACCCCGGGGAGCCATGAGCGCCTCCCCACAATCCACGTCTTCCTTCTCTTCAGACAGCGGGGAGGAAGAGGTCATCGGGACAGTGACCACAGCGCACAAGGAGAACTTTATGTACAACCAAGAGCAGTGCGGCACGGAGCCTGAGGTCCCGCAATCTCCTGGCGTCCCCGGGCAGGGGAGCGCCGGCAGTGATGAGCAGCAAGTGAACTGGAATCACTGGAACGATCACGTTACAATGGGACACTGTAGCCTGCCCCCCCAACAAGACCAGCAAGAGACCAACAGAGTCTACAGGGACGATTTCCTCAACCACTGTCCAGACCAGCAATATAAAAGCCCCCCTACCAGTCACTGTCCCGCCTACACAGATAGCCGGCCATTCAAAGGCCATCATATCGTCGAGGCTGGTGGAGGTTTTGCTGGGTCGTCCTGGACCACAGGGAATAGGATGCACTTGGTGAGTAAGCAGTACAACTGCCACACCTGTTTCTAGGTCCAGAACTGAAATTTTGGGTCAGGACAAATTAATTTCCATTTTGCTCAGATTGTCATCAAGTAAACGCAGCAATTATTATTTAAACTTATTTACTTACTAGCTAGTTTATTTGGTGGTTTGTAATCTGTTGGACTGTTCTAAAATTATTCAAAGGAACCAGGCTGAAAGTATAATATTTTATACTTAAAGTTTTATAGTATAAAACTGTATTATTCTATTACATTTGTGTTTGTTGAATGAATTCTTGAAAGGACTGAATCTTTTAATTGGTTAATTTGATTTAATGGGTATTTCACATTATGACACAATATGTGAACATGTGTGTCATGATATTCTGCAGCAGAGTGGAAGGCACCTTGTCCAGGGTTGATTTCTTATCAATTATGTTGACTTGTCGGTTAGGAGGAATACCGTAAATAGACGTTTGTGTCACTAACTCCACCTCTGCTGCCGTCATTCCTCCATAACAGGTGTGTCCCATGAACCTGTCACCCTTCGTGAACCCGTGCAAATCCAGCCATGAAATCTGGGCGGAGTTCTCCATGAGCTTCACTCCAGCAGTTCGCGAGGTAGTGGAGTTTGCAAAGCGAATTCCTGGATTTCGGGACCTCTCCCAACAAGACCAGATCTGCCTGCTGAAGGCTGGAACGTTTGAGGTATGCGCGTCTGTGAATATAATAAATAACACGTGAACAGACTTAATCTGGACTTTTTCTCTTTATGTTTTTTTAATCTCTTCCTCAATTTTAACCCCAGTTTTTTATGTAACTGCTGTTTATGCCAATGAATATTATTTTGAGTTATATCAAAATCAGATTATATGCATGAAGCATATAATCACAACAGCATGCAGTTAATTTCTGGGAATATATTGTATTTTTCTCACTAAATTCTAGACCCTTCTAGAAGTTGGTCAATTACAGTCAGCCAGTATGGCATAATTACTGCAAACAAATAAATAAATCTTCTCAATCTGGACTGAGGAAGGATTTGTTTCGGCAGGTGCTAGTTGTACGTTTTGCATCGCTGTTCGACTCGACGGACCGCACGGTGACCTTCCTGGGTGGCGAGAAGTACAGGGTGGAGGCGCTGCGCTCCATGGGGGCCGGTGACCTGCTGACGTCCATGTTTGAGTTCAGCGAGAAGCTGGCGGCACTGAAACTCCGCGAGGAGGAGATGAGCCTGTTCACCGCCGTCGTCCTGGTTTCTGCAGGTCAGTGCATAAGCCGCATGCTTCATGGGAACATACTTTACTGCGGAGTATTTCTGTCTCAAAGTAAAGATCCTCTGAATGCATCAAGCAGAGGGAAGGTGGCTGTCTGACCAAAATGTTACCTACAATATCACTGTGTCCCAATTGTATGTGGACATTGAGTATGTTTTCTTTGCAAAGATAAGTGAATGTGTTCAAAATATACCAAAAATAGGGATATTATTTAATTTTTTCTGCTGTAAACCTATACTGAATCAGCAGTAATGGAAAGTGGATGGATGGATGTCTTGCAGGAGCTTTAGCTGACATTAGTTATATAATCAAAAGTCATGAAGTGGGGGTGGCGCAGTGGTTCGCACTGTTACTTCACTTCTGTGAGACCAGGGTTCAAGTCTTTGCACTTTCGCAGGGGTAGTGTGTGGCTCAGTGGGTTAGGACACCGTTCCTGTCAGTCATAAGGTCACCCAGGGTCAAATCCCAGGGTCAGCAGGTTGAGCTAGGCCCTTAACTCTGCCCTAGTTGCTTCAGTCTCAAAAAATGCACATTGATTTGAGAGGAAAAAAAAAACGAGATAAATGCTAAATAAATAAAAACGTAAATGCCTGTGACTGTAGCTAAATTATAGCTACATGACCCCGTATCCAGGAGTCTTGGTGTAACCTCAGCAAATGTGTCATCCTCATCCAGACCGCTCCGGCATCGAGAACGTGAACTCCGTGGAGGCTCTGCAGGAGACCCTGATCCGCGCCCTGAGGAGTCTCATCATGAAGAACCACGCCAACGCGGTGGCGACCTTCACCAAGCTGCTGCTGAAGCTTCCGGAACTGCGCTCCCTCAACAGCGTGCACTCAGAGGAGCTGCTGACCTTCAAAGTGCATGCCTGACCCACAGGAAACGTTCATGCAGACGTCTTCATTCGCTTTGTACAGAACTGTCAGAAAAGGGGACCACGAGTGAATGGCAGCGTGTGCCTCACAGAACCCCCCCAAGCCCAAACAAACGCACACATTTATCAAAGGTTTGCAGATCTGTGAACTTAAGAAGCACTTTGTTATCGTTCAGTGCAATATAAAACCATCCACTTTCCAGTTATTTCCATTTTGATGTTATTTCCTTTGTGTTTTTGAGACATACTGTACTTAATAAGCATGAATGTAAGTCCAAGCCAAAGTAGAACATGTGGAGGTTCTGGTTTCACAGAAGCTGGTGTGGTGCTGAAGAAGGAGTCTGTAGTGACCCAGCACTTTCTCCGCAGGAAAAGCTTGTTTGGCTTGATCGCGGTGTAGATATCTGTCGGCGTGCTGATTTCATTATAAACATTCTACCTCTGTTGGAAATTCAGACAGACATATTGCGGTTTTACTGTTTCAGTAGTATTCAATATTATATCACACGAGAGCACTGTTGCTGTTCTGGGGAGTAATTTCAGATATCATGTTTTTCTAAAGCAGAGAGACAAATGTGAAACGCATAACTGCAGGTTTATATATACTACTCTCCTCTTTTGTTGCATTGCTATGATGTGTAATGTAAAAAAAATGGGTTCTATCTAGATGGGCATGTCATACTGGTGCCTAACCTTAACCCTGGCAATGCCTGATACTGCTAGTTCAGTGCTGAGATTCTTTCGGAGATGAGGTGTGGTTTGTGTGCGCGTTGCGTCTAACTGGGCTAGCTCGTCGCCGACACTTGAGATGTACGCAGGCTCATTTCGTGCATCATGCGTGTCTGTGGCGAGCAAATTCCCGGCAGGTGTAGGTGTGTGTGTGTGTGTGTGTGTGTGTGTGTGTGTAAATGACGCTCACCTACAAAAACCCAGAACTCGCAGTGTGGCCCAAATATGAAGATGGTTTGCTAATCTAATAGCGGCCTTTTCTATTTTTGGAAATTGTGTTAACTTCCTGTTCATTTTTCTTGCAATCTGCCTGACAGATTGTCTGATATTTTGCGCGGCTCTCTATCACATTTGCTTTCCCCAGTTCCCCCAGTCCTCACTCTCTCACTGTAATCTGTCTGTGCTCTTTCCAAAGAGACACATCCTTAATTATATATACGTTTTCACATAAGTATCAGTCACTCAGTCTTTGTCTATCCCTGTTTCACACCCTATTTTATCTGTCACTATATATATAATATATATATAAAATGTAAAGTTATAAATAAACAGAAGAGCAAGTTCTGTTGTGGGTTTTTTGAATAATAGGTAGTGTTAAATGTTCAAGTGTCTGTTATAATTGAAACAGCAATAGTTTATGGGTTTTTTTTAAAGGTTTATTCCAAATTGACTGCACTCTGAAATGACCAGAAATATGTACTAAAACAAATAAAAACTTAAACACACAAATTTCTTCACAAACAACCTGTCTACTAGGTATACATTACAGTATAGTCAAAATGCCTTAATAGAACGCTGCTATGGTGACAAGAAAACACAAAATTCTCTTTATTCACCATGTACAAAGCTCATTTAATGAGTCACAAACAACATGAACAGAAGGAATCCATCAAATATTTAAAACATTCACTTTATTGTTCTACTAATACTCTTGAAGATTTAAACCAATGCCAATCAGATGCAACCAGATTACTAAATCCGATCTAAATGGCTGCAAGCCAGCTGGTAAAAGTGACTCTCTCTTTGTTGTTCTGTGAAGTCTGACAAATCTAACTACCACACTAACCTGTTACTGTAAAAATGATTAAATCACCACCTACCCCAAGCTATATTGGTCACTCACTGAATCATTTTTGCTTGTTGCAGTGTTCTTTGAAAATTCTGGTAAATATTCACTGATATTTTCTGAAGTAAAGTCATACTTTCTGCTAGCTGGCTTATAAAATATAATCACATATAACCAACTCATTTTGAGGAAATAGATACTACATTTCCAATTAACTTAAGCTATTTCCTGATGTGTGAAAGAACATTGGCATTTTAATTCTTTTAACGCCTTCTGTGCTATAGCTAACACTATGTTTTGACATAAGCGGTTTATAAAAGGTACAAAGACTCATATCTTCTTCCTCATTCAGATTTATGTTGCTCTTTTATACAAATAATGGAGTACAAGACATCATGAAGCACTGTACCAGCACCAGAGTTGGGTAATTCAGATCCAGAGAGTAAAAGTCCAGACCAAGACATTGTTTCAACCAACCAGTTGAGCATAAAGAGTCACAGTCACAGAGTACACAACTGGTTGGTTGAAACAAAATCCCGGTCTGGACTTTTACTCTCTGGACCTGAATTACCCAACTCTGACCAGCACAATGGAATTGCAGGGTGAACCAACCTTGCAAAATCAATGATGCATTAGCCGTGTGCCACACAAGGTGCAGAGAAACCTCCACCTTGGACCACTCAGAATTCCTGTTCTGCTTATATGCAGTAACTCCAGAATCACAGCTGTGGAAGCCTTCACAAAATACTGTGTTTGACAACATAATCCGTTGCATTAACAGGTCTACCTGAAAGGAAAAATTCAGGGTGTTTAATTAAAAATATATGAGTTCAAGTAGCAGGGTTAAATTATTTTTATAGTCGACCAAAAAGGAACCTGAGGATTTTATGTTGTGGTACTATGATCTGTTACACAGATCCATCACAGTAGTAAAAGTTACAGTTTGTGATTGAGAAAGTGCTGATTTTGGCTATAAAATAGATCATTTTAATGCCATTGCTTTGAGGAATATGATTCTTGGCATTCTTGAAATATAGCAGCCACGAGGTGGAAAACATGGCACAAGGAGCAGCGCTCAGGCTGTTCTCTTGAGGCCCTTTCAGCCAGGAGTGAGTTTAGCACCCAGGATGACAACCCAGTTTACTCCAGCAAGCACACCTGGGCTGGCACAGGCCAAGGCCACAAGGCAAAAATTTAGCCAGGAGACATATCTGTACCCATATGTACATCTGAAACTCTTGTCACTCTTGTGTAATGTGTTGTTTTTCTTCTGTTGCCAGTAAAATCATATTCTCAAACTGGTTTCTATTTAACTCCAGCCCACAACTGTTCAGGTCCTGTTCGAAGTGCTCATACATATTTTAATTCTTTTCGAGTCATAATTAACGCGCAACAGGCGTTGTGCCTGTTTGTATCTCCTTGGTTCCTCCTACAGACTGCCTCCCACATCCTGTCATTGGCACTTTCAATACATCCTCTGCAGGCCCCTTTGGTCTTCGTCTCTCTTGGAAAGATACGGGTAACGGGTTTACTTGCGAAGAGCCTGGGAAGTCAGTCTGCCTAATTTTAGTAAATAAATATAGAGTATTTTGTTTTTCCCCGTATTGTATCTGTAATCGTTCCTTCCAGACTTTTCAGCTTAAAATGTATGGCAGAGAATGATATCATGGGTCAACAGACAACTCTTTACTGCCTCCATGTGGTGAGGTATAAGAAGTGATTTGCGATGCGTACATGGTAGGTCACGGTTTTATTTGTAACGAATTCATGTCATGGCATTAGAGACGATTGAAGAAAGTCAATCAGGTACATTTCTAGCTTCTATTATGACAAGCATTTATTATAACAAATATTTGCAGCTCTAGCTGTACATAGAATGTAATTTTACACACGCTCAGTCTAAAGTATATTAAGTAAATTAGTCTTAGGCTTAAAAGGATAGCTTAATATTAAAAAAAAGAAGGCTAGAGTCCATTTTTTCAGCACAGAGACGGCTTCCGAAGTACACATACACGTATAATTAAGTGCTGTATTTCATCGTAGAGGAATTATAAAGAGGGAATCTTGATGTTTTCGACCTGGTGTTTACTGCTGCTTTACTTCCTCGAGGAAAAAAACCCGACACGCGCGTGTCTCCTTGTCCGCGCGCCGGCAGCGCCCGAGTGTTCGCGGGTCGGCGCGCGGAGGCACCGTGCCTCCTGCTTCGCTTTTTGTTTGGGGTGTGGAGGGTAAAATACCCCCCAGACGTCTCTCTCGCGCCCGACGGCGTGGCGTCTGCCAGTCGCCTGGATGACTGGCGATGAAAGGCGACGGGCTCGACTCTGCCTCATTCCCTTGCACTAATAAGCAGAAAATCAAGTGCTCAATACCGCTGGCACGGCACTATTGTTCATATTTCGCAAAAAAATCCTGCCCCACCCAGTAACAAACCCTGTGAAGGAAACAGGTATGCACAACCCGCCACGTGCTTTTTATTATTACCACAGGTGAGTACTGTACTTCGAAACCCTCCCTAAACAAACTCTTAATTAAAACTCATTAGGCCACTGTTAGAGTTACGTCTTTGATTCAACATACTGAATTCTGTTTATTACTGATCCTGTTGCAGAAACCACTGCATACTCCAAAGAAATCCGCACAGGATTGAGTGTATACATACAAAATAAATTATGAGGTGGAAGGCTGAAGCTGACATGTCACCCGATGCAGTCAGGGTCATTACCGTCCACCAAATATACCCATCAGTCTACCGGTCAGTGTCGGTCAAGAAGCGTATTGTTGACATAAGTTTGCTTCTTGGGGCTGCTCTCATCTTAAAGATTATTTTAATTTTTAAAATTAACTTAACCCCACAACCATGGATGTTGGTAATGCTTTACAATGAACAGACATCCTTAAAACGATGTGCAACGTTTGGTCACGGTTTCCGGATCGAACGACGTATTTTCTCGAAACGATGTGCAGCTACGTTTTTTCTCGTTTGGTGGGCGTGTCAGAGGCGTTACCCAATCAGCAGCCACGTGTTTATAGACCCCGCCGAATTAAAAAGACAGTGACCGCGATGCTGACATGTCACCCGATGCAGTCAGGGTCATTACCGTCCACCAAATATACCCATCAGTCTACCGGTCTGTTTAAGCTCTTTCTTGTCGGTGCTTTGATCTGTCTTGGCATGGCCTAGTCCGGCTTGCTGGGCTTTTATGTGTGTTTTTTTAGCTGGCTTGGTGATTAAGGTTTTGGTTTGGATTGAATTATTTTCTGGTCCAATGTCTAACTTAGAGTCCTTGATTTTTTTATTATTTTTTTTGCTTACCTGATCCTGCTTTTACCTATGATCTCATCTTTGATTACTCACGCGAGTCTAGTGCAGCCGTCTCATCTGCGTATATCGCAGTCTGCGGCCCCAGGTCAAGTCAGCACTGAGCACTCGGGGACCAGGAAGGTCTGACAGGCAGAAGACCTGGCATCATGTGTGTACGCAGTTTGGGGTCCATCCAGTTGCTGTTGCCAATATTCCTTGTTCGAGAACTTTTTAATAAACTTCTTTTTTATAATTCTGTCAGGTGGCCATGACAGTGCCTTATGCTGCCTGGGATCTGCTCCAGGTCCACTGTGACCCCGTATTGAATAAGCAGTTATGGAAAACAGAGGATGCTCGTTGTTTATATTAGGCTTGCTCGTGACCTTGTAGAAAAACACCTGTGGCAAACTTTCAGTCTGGTTTTGCCACTCTGTGTAAAGACCAGTCTGCATTTATGGTAAGCGCAGAACACAAATGTTATGTAGTAAATGTAATGTATTTTTAAACTGCGTTAATGTATAGTTTTGAAAGCGAAAACTGCAGAATTACGCATGTTCAGTTGTAGAATTTTTAAATATTATATTGTAGCCTCCGTACCAAGACTTCTTAATACTGAAATATATATATAGTTCTTTATAAGTGTATTTAGAATAATCTACAAACTAGTTTAATTGTAATGATGTATTACAAAATGTCTATATACGAAAATTTATACATTCATGTGTAGGGGAGAATTATTTAAAAGAAAGGCATACTTACGAACGATGTCGTTCAGCCTCATGTAGTTACAATATTTTACCAGCAGGTGGCAAAACACAATCAGACCAAAACCACACAGCGTCACAGTAAAGGGTATTTGATGCACTTTTCTTTCTTTATGAATGTGCTCTTTAATAATAGTTTTAAAATTCTCCTCAAGGTGGACATCACTAAGCTAGTTTTTATTTTAATTAGGTACCTAGTGATTTGCAAGTCTACTTTAATAAAAACGAAATCCTCTTCAAAATGTTAAAGGTTTTGCACGTGCTGTTTTGCACATCTGAATAACAAAAAATATGGCTATTGTTTTATTGCTGTGCACAATGTCCTCTCCATACTTTAGAAGCTGAGGCAATATCACAATTACAGGTGCAAGTCCAAAGACAACAGCAAAAGGATACCAAACTTAACCTGACAGTTTTCTGGTTGAGTTGCTTTGAAAGGGAGGCAGGTTGCCCTTAGAGATGCAGCATATGCTAATTCATTACAAAATCTCCAAATAAACTCTGGTCCCTTCCCACTGGGCCAGAATGGGACTCCGGGACCTGGCAGGTGAGATGAAAGAGAAGGGGCCGTTTTGTGAATGTGACACGCAGTTTAACACCAGACAGACCTGTCAGTGTTATATAACCACCAGTATGTCTCTTTTTTTTTGGACATGATCTATAAACAACCTCCAAATCTACCTCACTGACGCATTATGGCTGAAAATGTTTATGTCGCTTTCCAAAGTTTTCTTTCCCTTTTGGTGTCCATATGTTTTTGCTGCGGATTACCGATTTTTCTCAGGAGAATTTGATGTGAATCATAGCAGGAGTCCTGTTTCACTGTCAGGGTGTGTGTGTGTGTGTCTGTGTCTGTGTCTGTGTGTTGTCCATAGTTCCCCGGTCATGTGCCCTATTTTTCGAGACCAGCAGTAAACCTTGTCATTATGAACATGACTGTATAAAAATCTGGAGGTGCGTGGATGGATAACATG